TTTAAATAGTTTGCATTTGTATGTGTGTGATTATTTATGTAAACAAAGAATAGCAAATCCACGCCCAGTCATCTTCTTTGGGAGCAAAACATTATCTGGAATATGGGAAATATATGTTTATTACTTACAAATATCCACTGTCTGAAATGACTGCCTCTGGACATTCCAGGAGCACCATGTTGGCTTTTCTTTGCAGCAAGAATATTCATTGCTTTCTTTCTCTGTGTCTGTTTTCCTTATGTCTGTCTTTCTCTGTTCTGCCATTTTTCCTTCCTTTCTGCCCTTTTTTTTTTTTTCCTTTTTTTGTCTTTTTTCGTGCCCGGCAACGGATCGCAACCCTCAGTGTCGCGCCTGTACCGGACCGGGACCGGCCACGGGATAGCAACCCTCGGTGTTGCCCCCGCACCTCGCTCAGCCAGTGAGCGGCCGGTCTGTATGTGGGATCCGAACCCTCGGCGGGAGCACCGCCACGCTTCCCAAGCGGCGCACTGCTACAGCCCTTCCTTCCTTCCTTAAGAGCAATTAATTTGTTTCAGTAAGATTTATGGTCCGAAAAATTATAGAAGAAAGACCACGAATGGATTGAAGATCAAGGGGAAAAAAATTTTATGCATTATCAGTATATTCTAGGCAAAAAGAAATTTACTACTATTATTGATTGTATACGGGGTGCGGGTGAATAGTACTTTTACGCTTTAAATGAAATCCATTATATTGTGATATGAAGGGTTGTGAATGGGCATCTTTCAGTGGATTGCCAAATTCTTTGATGTTGTCTGGTAATAGAGAAAAGCAGGATTCTGCTGAACATAATTCTTACAGCTTTCAAAGGTAAAGGCAAAGAATGGAGCTAAATAATCAAAATACAAACACCTGATAGAAAATTATGGCTGTTCGAGAAAGAGGAATCCTACAAAGGCTAAATAATAACCAGATGACTAAAAATACAAATCATATTTCCTCAGATGAACCGCACAGCTCTGCATTTTGCAGTAGGAGGAAATCATTTATCTGCAGTGAATTTCTTGCTTGATCACAAGGCCAGGGTGGATGTTGCTGACAAGGTAAGCACATCTTCACTTGGTAGAATGAGTTGGGATGTAACCAAAATACAGGGAAAATCTGATCACTCCAGATATCTTTTCTTCACATACACACAAAATATTTCCATTGGCAGTAGTCATTTTGGAAAGGTCTCTTTAGAGAATATACGCATTATGTGCTCTTTGTAGTTGGTGACTAAATTGTTTACCCATTACCTGTAGGACTTGGGCTTTTACTTATTTTCCCATATTGACCTTCAGGCCGATAGCATGCATTCGTAAGAGTAAGATGGTTGTTCAGAGTATAATCTGGGACAGAATGACAGAAGCTAACTGGCCCCAGACATAGTAAATCTTGATCTTGCCCTGTGAACTCTGATAATAAGTAAGGATTGTTAAGCACATAGTGTGTACCAGGCTCAAGTCTTAGGACTTTGGTATTACTACCCCTCTAATACCCAATTTACAGATGAGGAGATTGAGACAGAGAAATTAAATATCTTGCCCAAAAAATTAAGTCTAAAAAGGAGTGGAGGCAGGATTTGAACCTAGCTTATCTGATTCCAGAGATCATGCTATTAGCTACAAATCAGCTGAGATATCAAAACCCACCCTGAGGATTTTTCACGTCTTCTTTTCACCTTCATTTAATACTTTACCGTGGCCACAAACAAACCAACTGGAGAAACCCAACATCACGTGTATCATCTCCAGTTGCAGAAGAAGATGACAGCCTTGCTCTAGAGTTCTTGATTCTTAATTAATCCAGTGGAGCAAAGGTCTTAAGGTTAAACCATTCAAAAGACTCCCAAAGAGCAATTCTATTTACTCTCCGGACTGGGAACTCCTGGAGGGTAAGGCTCAGCATTGCTTTACCCTCACATCTCACAGGGTCTGGGTTGAGTATGTGCTTAGTAAATGTGTGCAAGATGAATGAATGAAGTCAGCTTACACCAACTGGTCGTCTTGTTGTTTTGTCGGCAATCACAGACAAGGCCTAGACTTTCTAATGATGAGAGTTTCTCTTTGTGTCACCAGTGGGGCACATCCCTCTTTAGTTTATTGCTCTGGTATTTGTGGGCAAGTAGATTGTAACGTAGCAAAACCAGAATTAAAACTTAGTACTGAAAGTGCTCTAACTTTATGAGTGTAATTAGTTGTATTAAAGTCTGTGGTAATTAAGGAAAAGGTCCTTTAGGTTTGGAAATTGTCATTTGATTATTTTGCAATATTAGTTAGCTTGCAAAAGATGCTTTGGTAATAGACCAGATGAACCAAGTGTATTCTTACTTTGACATTAAAAACCTGATACAATACCTTTTTTTCACTTTAATTTTTAAATTAGCATACTATAGATAAACTTTGGTGTGCAATTGTATGAATTTTAACACATGTATAGATTTGTGTAACCACCACCACAGTCAACATGCGGAACAGTTGCATCACCCAGAAAATTCCCTCATGCTTCCTCTTTGTAGTCAAACCTCTCCCACCCTGGCCACCACTGACCTGTTCTCCAGTTCTATAGTTTAATCTTCTTGAGAACAACAACTGTATGATATCATACAGTACATAGCCTTTTGAGATTGACTTCTTTTACTCAGCGA